AATCCAAGCCACACATCTCTGCAATTTTATCAAAACTGTTTATACTCATTGGACTGAATCTCAGCAAACTTTACCTCCTATTCCCCTCATATGAGCAGAAGCAATGTACATTTTTTCCTGATTCAGTTTCTTTGTTTATTTGTCTATTTATTTATTTATTTATTTATATTTTTTGTTTTCAAGACAGGGTTTCTCTGTGTAGCACTAGCTACTCTCAAACTTGTAGACCAGGCTAGCCTAGAACTCACAGAGATCCACCTGTCTCTGCCTCCCGGGTGTTATTTTCTTTAGATTCTGCAATATTATTGTAAATACCTCCCAAGTGGGGAACACAAACTTAAAATTCATTTACAATTTGGTAACAATCCACATCTACACCCTGAATAGAATTACATGTAATGTTCTTTGGGAATTTCAGTGCTTTACTTTGTTTTGTTTTTCTGTCTTGAGACAAGGTCTCACCATGCAGCCCTGGCAGGCCTAGAACTTACAGATATCCCTCTGTCTCAGTTTCCTAAGTGCTGGCCTTTCAGGTATATAATAAGCACTTTTTAGCAAGTTTATAAGTGAGGATATGCAAAGTTTCCCAAGTTTTCTTAGTTTATAGTCCTTGACCTTGGGCTGCAGCCACCGGAAAGAAAAGGGAAATTGCAGCTATTTTCATGAGAAACCAAGGTGGTATCTGCAGAGATGGAGACTGAGTCATGGAGAGGAGACAGAGTTACCACAGGGAAGGTTGCTGCCCAAGGGAAATTTACTCTGCCGAACTCCAAGCTGTGAGCCTAAACATCTGGAGTGTCACAGATGATCTGAGACTAAGGAATATGTATGAGTGTCTTCAAGGATTGTCCCAGGTGAATTCACAGGAAAGTAGGGATAATCTACAGACAGAAAAAGGAAACAACAGGCGCCCATCCAGTCATGAAATAGTTAATGTGCAGACTTGTAAAAGCTGGAAACTCTTAGACACTAAACGCATGAATGAATGAATGAATGAATGAATCAATCAATCAATCAATCAATCAATCTAATAAAAGTATATAAGGGGCTAGAGAGACAGCTTGGTAGTTACAAGTACCACCTACCTTTGCAGAGGACCTGAATTCTGTTCCCAGCACCCACAAAGAGGCTCATAAATTCCACAACTCCAGCATCCAGATCCCCATGGTCAATGACTTCTGACTGTTTTAGAAAACAGATCCAACTTACAGTGTCATAAACTCTGAAGCTTTAACCTTCCTGGCTGTTTTGGTTTCCACTGGCACCTGTGACTGAGGCCCTACTACAATAAACCTCCAACACACACACACAGACACACAGACACACACACCCCGATAACTTGACACCTCACTGAAAGCAAGTTCTTACCTTTCACCCAAGCAGTTGAGCTCCACCCACCTGCTTGTTAATCAACATAACTGACCGCAAGGAAACCCAAGTGCTTTGTTGACAAGATGCATCTATGGACACTACACCAAACCCACAAACCCTTCTTAAACATAGAGTTTTAAGTCTACATATGACTCATCTCTCACCTGTTGGAGGCTATTTGGAGCTGGGCTTATAGCTACCAGAATAAGGTGTTCATAGCTCAGTGGACAGGGTGCTTGAAGATTAGTGAGTAGTGTGTGCCTGTAGCTCAGTGTCTTAGTCAGGGCTACTATTGCTGCAATGAAACACCATGAACAAGAAGCAAGTTGTGGAGGAAAGGGCTTATTCCTCTTACACTTCCACATTGCTACTCATCAACAAAGGAAGTCATCCCTGGAACTTACACAGGGCAGGAACCTAGAGGCAGGAGCTGATGCAGAGGCCAAGGAGAGATGTTGTACACTGGCTTGAGTCCCGTGGTTTGCTCAGCATGTTTCTTACAGAACCCAAGGCTACCAGGCTGGGCCCTACCACCCTTGATCACCAATTGAGAAAATGCCTTACAGCTGGATATCATGGAGGCATTTCCTCAAGGGAGGCTCCTTTCTCTGTGATAACTCCAGCTTGTGTCAAGTTGACACACAAAACCAGCCAGTATGCTCAGTTTGTAGGGTGCTTAGCTAGCATGCAAGGAGTCATCAGTTCAGTTCTCTTAGCTTTGTGGGTCCAAGGACTGAACTCAGGCCATGATGCAAGTGCCTCTACAGAGCCAGCCATCGGACCTGATGTTCTGTTTGTCTTTAATATTTTCACATAGCACCCAGGTGGGTGTACTAGCACACATCTGAAATCTTAAGAATTCCTCAGCCTCACTTAAGAAGGCAAAGCTGAAGAATTCCTGCATTGGACATCAGCCTCGCTAATGTCACTCGTGCTTTGATTTCTTTCCTGTTGCTGTGACACACTCCCTGACCAACAGCAAAGAAAGTGACTTTTATTTAAAAACAAGAACCTTCTGAAGTTCACTTGCAACTTCACTGCCAAATATAGAAACTGAACAAAGGGTAGAAAGCAGCAGCATTTTCCCAAAAATCACTGATAGGGAAGAGAAACCCAGCCACCCATGAGGAGAAAAGGGGCCACCCATGAGTCACTCAGGAGCTGGAAAGGACTGAAAGGATCCTCCCTGGGGCCTGACAAGGAAGCCATGATGTGAATCTCATACACTACCCACCTGAGAGCCTCTGCGCCATTTTGGATCCCACCCTTATCTCCAACCCAACCTCCACCATCTTGAATCTGATCCACCCTGGGTCATCTTGGATCTCACTCATCCTGGGCCATCCTAGATTTAATATTCTACCAAACAAGCTGCCATTTCTCTATCTCTGAGCTAGAAGAATGAGGCACAAGTACTCAACTACAAGCACTCTACCCACTGAGCCCCACCCCAGCCCCACCTTTGACTGCCCACGTTTCCTTTTATTTATTTTTCTGTATTTCTACCATACTCCTGATAGGAGCAGATTCCTTGCCACTGTGAATCCTTTGAGATCTACATACCACATGTGCTGCGTCTGAGGCAGTTTCACTTATCAGTGGCAGTTGGTTTTTAACAAACCAGCTCTGCCTGTCAGAGATCGAGGTGCCAATAAGTAATGCACGGGGTCACGACCTTTGTTCAGGCCAAAGCATGAGCTGCTTTCAGGTTCATGTGCAAGTGTCGTGACCCCAGGTGACCCCCAACTCTGCCAGTGTTCACCCCCTGAGACCCTAAAATCATGTGATCAGCAATCATCAAGCAGATCATGTCAGCAGAGCACGAAGAAGCACCATAAGAGCACCCAATTTGAGAGGCCTGGGTCCACAAGATCGTGGGGACTAAGTGATGACTATGTGGGAACAAAAGACTGCAGAGTGCAAAGCATGAAAAAAAGGAGACCTACTATGTGACAAGGGAGAGGGGAAATCACAGTCCCAGTAGGGCAGCCCTAGATACTGAGTCTGCAGCACTTCCTGGGTGCTAGGCCTGACATCACCCTGGGTTTCTGGAGGATGACACCTATTAAGGCAATGGCAGACCCTAGGGTAATGTGCACATGCAGAAGGAGGTGGGCAGAGGAGTACATTGAAACAATTCTGGCCATCACCCTGCCTTAGGCAGATGTGTATATGCTTCATGTGGGTGCTAGAGACTTGAACTCAGATCCTAACTGCTCGAGCATCCAGTCTCGTAGAGTATTTGGCTTATCAGAAGGTCAATGTTTGCTGAATTGACTAAATGCTTTTTGTTGTGAGATATTCACCAAAGACTGCATGGACACAGCTTTGGGGCAATAGAAAGTCTTTATCAGCCAGCTAGAGACTACATTGGGTGCTTGGGTTCCCAGTGTAGCCCCAAGCCTTTCTCAGGGTGAGCTTTTAAAACAGAAACTATGTTCTGAGTTGACATATTTTAACAAGAACAATTAACCAGAAGTGGAACTACAGAAGCCAAAATTCAAGTTTAATACATTTAGAAACTTTCCCAGAACTAAGGGCTTTGGTGGACTATGTCTTTTAGTTTTGGTAGGTGGCACTGTCTACATTTTGAGTGTTACAACCTGAGTGTTACTTCCATCAAGGAGTCAGTTGTGTTAAGCAAAGTCTGGGGGTCTACTAAGGCCTGGGATCCTGCTACAATTTTGTCATAGTGTAACCAAACCCAAAAATAACGGCAAGCTCTGTGCATTCTGATTAGTGGAGTACCAGGTCCTAGCATGTACTCAGTGTTTATTGAGTAAGAAAATGTTCTCAATGTGAAACAATAAAAAAAGTAAAGAAGCCAGCAGACTTCCTTGTTTCCAAAGTCAAGAGTACTTGTCACCCACAGGCATCATCAAGGCACCTGGTTCCAAATGGATGGTCCCTTATTCCATCCCTGACTCAGGGCCCTATAGGCCCTGTGTCTCCTAGGACCGAGCGCCTCAAAGCTAAGAGCAGGGTAGTGCTGTGCGCATGCTCTGAGCAGCCCGGGGACCGCATTCTTTGCATTCCAGGTTCAGGGAAACACCGCCCTCACCTTGCAGGTGGTGGCTGCGGTCTGTAAAGCACCCAGTTCTCAGCACTACCTGCGAGCCCAGGCCTGTCTGATGCCACATAACAAGTCCCTGGAAACCCTGTCTACTCAGGAGTCCCTGGGCTCAGGATCAGCAGGTGCCGCAGGGCCATTGAGAGCCCAGGCTTTCTGGAGGGCGGCGCTCAGGGACTGCAGAACGCCTGGAGTTCAACCCCCTGAGATTGAGGAGAAACCGTGCCCCACCCGAACTCCTCCTCCTGGTGCCTCAACCCACTGCTCAAGCTCTGCGGGTAGTATCCACCGGCAGTAGCCGGAAGTTCCCGCACCTCTTCCTTCCCGCTTCCTGCCTAGGGGTAGGAACAAGGTGCGCGGGGTTGGGGGGGGCAAGCTGGACCCGTGGACCCTGTGCAGCCCCCCCCCCCATCGCTTTTACTTTGGTGCAGGCCCCGCGGATGAGTAACAATAGGCAGGGCGGGGCCAACGTCCAGGCTCCTCCCCGATTGGGTACGCAAGAGGGCGGAGCGTGTGAAGGCTCCGCCCCCTCACGTCACACAGACATCCCACTCCCCCTCCGGCACAAGCCGGTCCCCGCCCAGCCGGCTTCCGCCGGGAATGAAGAGTGCTGCGGTTGGCTCCTGTCCTGTGGACCCCACGCGCGTCCGTGGAGCCTTCGGGCTGCTTCTGAGAGCCCCTCCCACCGCTCTGAGCCCCACTGAGGTCGTTTCTATTGTCCTCTCCAACGCGGGCTCCGGAACACGCGTGCGAGCCCTCTGCTGATGCCCAGGCTGCCCTTGTGCCGCTGTCACACCGTGCGTCCCCTGCCCCATGGAGCCGCCCGCTGGTGCCGCGGCGACCGTAAAAGATCCTGCAGCCAGAGACCATGACCCTATGAACACCAAGGTCTCGGCGCCCGCCGCAGACCCTCCAACCAAGACATCGACACAGAAAGCGGGACATTCGTTACAAGATTGGGACACCATAGCCACCGTGGGTGAGTGAGAACTTGTGCGTGGGGACGCAGCTTGGGAGCGACCCTCGGATTTCTATCTCCCACACGCTCAGTACTGGGCCTCCGGAAACGGGGCAGCCCCACGTCACAGAGCTTTCAGGAGGGTGACTTCACCTTGGGGACTCAGTGGCTCCCTACTGGGGTGCCAGTCACCCTTGGGACACCACGCCCGGCCTCCCTGGCGCTTGCGCACCCGCTCATGCCCAAGATTTCTCGGGATCACATCCAGCCCCTACTGTGGACCCCTGGCGGGACTTGAGGGGACGCGAGACCCCCAAAGGACCCTTCAGGGACGTTTTCCCAGAATCTTCTGTGCGCCTGGGTCTCGTTTTCTCTTTAGTGACTCCAAACTTGGTACCCCTGTGACCCCGCAGGTTGCTAGGGAAGCCGGTGGATCCCCAAACGGGCCAGGGTGCTGTGATGGGGCTAGGATCATGCGAATCATGGGCGGCAGCTTCCCAAGTCTGAAGCTCAGGAGTCCAGGGCTTCTCGGCAACCTCGGTCGCTAGGACAGTTGTGCCCAGTGTGTTGATTATTAGGAAAGTGTTCTGGGAGGATGGAGGAAGGACAGAGGGAGGGACTGGTGTCTTCTGATCAGCTGGGGACAGAGATTTTAGAGGCTTCTCCATTCACCCTGGTTTTGGAAGTGAGGAAGTCAAGTCAGGGTTCAGGGCCAGGCTGAGGGACGATTAACACTTTCTCAGCTGAGCCAGTGGAGTGGTGAGGTGGGTAAAAGGGTTAGGTTCTCTCTTGGAGGCTGGCACTCGCTGCATCTCGGCTTTTGATGGACTTTTGAGGGAAACTGAACTGCTTGAATGCCGTTTATTTATTTATGATGTATTCTAGGCTGGCCTTTCCATCACAGGATGACCTTAAACTACACATTCCCCCACCACTCCTTCCTGACCGAGCCCCACTCCACCACAGATTGGTTATGGGTGCTGGGAACTGAGACACCCCCCCCACACCCCATGTTTCTTGAGACATTGATCTGAAAGTCACTGCATAGCACAAGCTGACTGGAGACTCCACACAATCCTGTCTTAGCTTTCCCAGTGCTGGTGCTGGGACCACAGGGACTCACTCACAGGCACTTGGCACCTCAACTGGTTCTCCACCCTTTTCTTTCTTTCTTTCTTTCTTTCTTTCTTTCTTTCTTTCTTTCTTTCTTTCTTTCT